AGAAAACAGATACCAAATATTTAAAAGGTCATTTCACATGACCACTTACACTAGCTCTCCACTAGTCTTTTCACCTTCTTATTTCACTATTTCCAAGAATTCATGGGGTGCTTACGAAATTCTAACAGTTACTTATAGTGAACAACTGTTTTGACAGGTTATAGTTCAAGAATATACAGGAAAAGATGGAGAAAATGCAGGAAACGATTTCATCAGAGGATTAGAATCTTAAAAAAAAAAGTAAATGGAAATTCTGGAACTAAATAACACAGTATATGAAATTAGGAACTCAATGAATGGACTTACAGCCGATCAAAAACAGCAGAATAAAGAACTAGTGGACTGGAAGGTCAATAGAAAATGTCCAAATTGAAGTTCAGAGAGATGAAAGTCAGGAAGTGAGAAGCTCAGAGGAAAAAAAATTTGGAAAATTCAGGAAATAATTTATGATGAATAAACCTACAGTTATAGTATCATGATATTTAATAATTTTTTATTTCTTATAACTATTCTTTTGTATACACTTAACGTTTAATAAAAAGGATAATACAAAACATGCACAGTCCTATCTTTTTCACTTGTCACTCCATATGTACAACACTGAACAATTTTTCCTTCTAGTGAGAAAAATTATAGAACGACATAAAAATTTTTTTTTAAAGAATTAGTTCTAAAACTATGAAAATCATACAAAGAAAAATGTTTTCTACAAAACTTCTTAAATTATTTTAGGTTACTTGCAGCTAATACATGTCATGATACCTCATTAAACTGTAACTAATACAAATGTTGTCAAAATCAACATACAGAAAATCCCGAAGTCATAGGAAACACTTCATGCTTCATGAGGTATAATCTAGTGCCTGGGAGAGCATCTTATCTTCAACTGCAAACTCCAACTATGTGGATGTCTGTCTAGTGTTTCACTGTATAAAAGACTTTGAGTGACAATCATTTTTTCTGAACCAAGGGGTCCACATGGGCAAGGCAGAAAAGCAGGACAAGGCCTGGCCAGAAATTCAGGCTGAGATGGCGTGTAAGAGAAGATGATGGTGAAGAAGAAAGTGAGATGTCAACCACAGACTACCTTCCATGCCATGCAATGAAAATCTCCTTGCTGACTGCAAAAAATTGATACTGTGACACCACACATACAATACATCCTTGCCGAACTGATACCTCACATTATACACAAAGATCATCAGTAAAGGTTAGGCTTCCCCAGGTATGGGGGAGGTGACAGAGAGAGGTGTGGCCTTTGAAACCTTGTGTCCTACTCAACATTACGACTTTGCTGATCACTGCATCAGATTTTAAGATTGATCACTCATGATACCACAGAAGATACATTAGAGGGGAAAAGGCTGGATACAGGTAAATTCCTCATGAAACTAATCCAGGAGGTGGCTTGATTGAAAAGAAGGGGGAATTTTTTTTTTTTTTTTTTTTT